AAGCCTACCCAGTTCCACCATGTACTAGCTGTATAATCTTGGGTAAATTACTTAACCTTTCTGGGCCTCAGTTTCATCATCTTAACAAAAAACTAGCCAGGCGAGGTGGCGGACGCCTGTGGTCCCAGCTACTTGGGAGGCTGAGGCAGGAGAATGGCGTAAACCCGGGAGGCGGAGCTTGCAGTGAGCTGAGATCCGGCCACTGCACTCCAGCCTGGGCGACAGAGCGAGACTCCGTCTCAAAAAAAAAAAAAAAAAAAAAAGATAATAATATACTCCTTCCTCATGAGTCTGTAGTAAAGATTAGTAAGGCAACATTCTGTTTAATTTACAATTTGAAAGTTTTCAGAGATTATTACATTTCTTCTTCTTTCCATTTCTGGTCAAAATTTTTGGATGCATTTTAGACACCTTTTGGGATTATTGTTGAAATACTGGGAATAAATTGATGCATCGAATATTTTCCAGTGCTCAATCTCACAAACTAATACATTTCAACATACTTCCAAATTAGTAACTTCTGGACGGTTTAGATAGAAGTCTCCCCAAATTAAAGAACTCCGTTATGATGTAATACATGCCAATGTTTGGTTTGGGAGTCAGATAGACTTGGGTTTGAACATTCACTCTGCTACTACTTACGATCTCTGGACTTTGAGAAAGTTGTTTAACTTCTCTGAGCCTTGGTTTTCTCCTAGGTAAACTGGGGATATGGGGGTCAAATAAATAACATTGGGCTTTTGTTAGGATTATATTGTATGATGTCTGTGAAAACATCTAGCTTAATGCCCAGCTCATAATAAGCACTTAATATACATATTTTCTTCTCTTGCATCTAAATCAGCAGTTGTCAACTGGGGGTGTTTTTGCCTCCCAGGGGACATTTCACAATGTCTAAAGACATTTCTGACTGGGATGTGTATGCTACTAGCATCTACTGAGTAAGAAGCCAGGGATGCTAATGTACAACCCCAGGGCAGCCCCTATCCCATCAACTCCAACGAAGAATTACCTGGTCCAATATATGTGAGTGCTGTAGAGATTAAGAAACCCTGAATTCTTCCTTAATTTTAAATTCATGGTGGTATACATTTGTGCCTAGTAGTACCCTAGTGATTACCTATATGTATTTTACATTAAATATAAAAGCTCCAGCTCTATAAAATTAATACTAATGGTTAAATAATAGTCATCTATTGGGCACTTGCTATGCTCCAAGCCTAAGCTAAAACATATGATTTGTGAAATGCGACACTAAATATAAATCCTACAGCAATCCTGAGAATTGGTAATACAGATTTCTCTAAACGGATAATAATAACAACATGTTATGGCCAGGCGTAGTGGCTCACACCTGTAATCCCAGCATTTCAGGAGGCCGAAGCGGGCAGATTATCTGAGGTCAGGAGTTTGAGACCAGCCTGGTCAACATGGGGAAACTCCCATTTCTACTAAAAATAAAAAAGTAGCAGGGCACGGTGGCGCAAGCCTGTAATCCCAGCTACTTGGGAGGCTGAGGCCAGAGAATCGCTTGAACCCGGGAGGTGGAGGTTGCAGTAAGTAGAGATTGCACCATTGTACTCCAGCCTGGGTGACAGAGTGAGACTCCATCTCAAAATAAATGAATAAATAAATAAATAACATTTTATTTTAATAATAACTGAGTATCAGGACAATAGCCTGTCTTATAATGTTCCTGACCTTAACAACTTGCTATCTTGCAATGTATATTGAATTCTACCTTGAAATACTCCCTCAATTTCCTCCACTTCTTTCTTCTCCCGCCACCATTACTCCATTTGGGCCACTACAAATTCTTCTGAATTAGGGAAACGCCCTCCTTATTCATCTCCTGCCATTGTACTTACTATCTCCTGTAAATCGGCCATTTTCTTTCTAAAATCTAATTGGGCAATAACATTCTTCTAAACAAGATCTTTTAGTAGCTCCCTAAGGTCCTCTTGATTTGGCTTTGACTCCACTCTACCTCCCTTCACTCCCCCTCACCTTCACAAACAACACACTCCTATAATCCCAATAATCATGGTCCAAGGATGTTAATGCTCGTGGGAAAACTATGATTCTATAACCAAGGTCAAACTGTGGGGTTTATTAGTGTTCTTCCTGTGTTAATGAGCAATGCAAGAGAAATTAAAGTCTCAGCTAATTAGTAATGTTCTATTAATGTGTGGTTGGCAGGTAACTGGAAGAAGAGAGAGGAAAAAGTCATGATTTCTGCTGGCGTTCTTTTCCTACATTGATGTCATGTGTGGCTACTATTAAAGCAGGGAGTGGTGAGAGGAAGAACAGAAGGCGGGGAATGCTGCCAGGACGCCAGTGGGAAAAGTTAGAAAGCAATAAGGAGCCAACAGGGACACTCACCTTCTGGCTTTGAACGGTTTCTCCTACCCTGGGGAAACACGGCTTCTCTCATGACTAACAAAACCTTTGGTGAAATTACTAGTGGTCCTCCAGAAGGAGTGCTGGCATAATTTGGTGGAGATGAGTCTGCGAACAATCAGATGAACAGCACAGGAAATCCCTTTTATAGCTTCGTAATTTGTGAATGTTGCCAATATAAAAACAAAGTAAACAAAATTCCTCAAAGAAGTTAGTTTTCAAACCTTAAATACAAATCTAAAAAGGCTTTTCTGAGATTTGAGAGGGGCATGAATAAAATGTCCAATAGGCCGGGCGCAGTGGCTCAAGCCTGTAATCCCAGCACTTTGGGAGGCCGGGACGGGCGGATCACAAGGTCAGGAGATCGAGACCATCCTGGCTAACGCGGTGAAACCCCGTCTCTACTAAAAAATACAAAAAAACTAGCTGGGCGAGGTGGCGGGCGCCTGTAGTCCCAGCTACTCGGGAGGCTGAGGCAGGAGAATGGCGTAAACCCGGGAGGCGGAGCTTGCAGTGAGCTGAGATCCGGTCACTGCACTCCAGCCTGGGGGACAGAGCGAAACTCCGTCTCAAAAAAAAAAAAAAAAAGACAAAAAGTCCAATAAATCCTCACTAAGTCAGATGGGTTGGGATCCTTTTTCTGAATCTGTTCATCAATGAACAAAATATTTTTATTTAACTAATAATAATAGTTCCTGGACGGACGTGGTGGCTCATGCTTGTAATCCCAGCACTTTGGAAGGCCAAGGTGGGTGGATCAGCTGAGGTCAGGAGTTCAAGACCAGCCTGGCCAACATAGTTAAACGCCATCTCTACTAAAAATAAAATATTAGCCAGGTGTGGCGGCATGTGCCTGTAGTCCCAGCTACTTGGGAGGCTGAGGTAGGAGAATCACTTGAACCTAGAACCCAGGAGACGGAGGTTGCAGTGAGCTGAGATTGTGCCACTGCACTCCAGCCTGGGTGACAGAGTGAGACTCCATCTCAAAAAAAAAATAAAAATAAATAAAAATAAAATTAAATATTTCCTATGATAAGCTTTAGAAAACATACAAGAAAAAATTTACCATCAGGAACATATATTTTTGTATAGATAAAGTACTAAATACTTGATCAATAACTCTTTCACGAGGATCTTTTCCCTGCTAGATCCTGTGTTAAATGGTAAAGTTATCATTCTTACATTTAACTTACCTGCAGTTCTTAGAACATAACTGCTCCTCCTCTCTGGCTCTACCATGTCTCATCTTCACAATGCAAATACATCTTTTAAATTTGATGGATGTTATGGAGTCAATATTTAAAAAAAAAAAAATAGCAGTTCTCCTTACGGGGTACCAGAATGATTGCTGACATACAGTTTAGCATTGAATACCCCGTATTATGTGTACAGTACCTAATGGTTCATTTGAGGAATTTCGAGAGAGTACTTTTTACTATTTCCATTCATATGAAAATTTTGATTCTAACCTTAAAAGTAAAATGTGACTTCTTCACTATATTGTTAGGAGAGTAGGGAGGTAGAAAGGATAAGGTGCTGAAGAAACATGGTTCCTTTCCTTGAGGAACGCACAAAACTCTAGTGTTCAAGTGATTAACTGTACAAGTCAAAATAAGCATATGAGAAGGTCAAGAAAATGGAGGTTCGTGAGCATAGGAGTTGTCAGGAAAGGCTTTGTGAAAAAGGATGAACTCTGAATGATGAACAGGATTGTACTGTGCCTTGCCCTCTAATTGCAGATGGTGGCTGGTTGAGCTGTTAGTTCTGGGCCTGATCTGGCAGAGCTGCCTCTTGCGTGTATTCAGATTGCAGAACCCATAGCTAAACTGAGATCTGTTTACTAGAGGGGCAGAGAACCTGAGAAGAGGAGATGGTTATAGACGAGGCCGTAAAGAAAGAGTCCAGGATTAGACCATCACTCAGGAAATCTGACTCGAAGTGCTGAAGCAAGTAGAAGTTTAGAGAAAATAAAGTGCGTCAAAATAGGGCACAAAGACAGTAGTAAGGTACAAGGAGGTCAAACCTTGGTTTCAACTGATTTCTGCAAGTGAAACCTTACTGTGGCTGTCCACTCACGCACGGTTTAGTATGCCTTGCTGGCCTAGGGCTAATCCTTAAAAATAACTTCAAGTGTACCAAGAAGAAAAGACGCACAGACAAAGGGAAATCATGACCCCTACAGATGCAGAAATGGCCTCAGCATAAGGAGAGAGCCCTTGGCACGTGATAATATTAGGTGGCGGATATGTGATGTCGGATCCGATGAGACTATAAGGAGCAGAAGTAGAAGAAATATTGTTAGCGCGAAAGAGCTAGGCCAGGTTGCAGAGGTTTTGAAAGCCAGGCAAGCGAGTTTGGCTAAGATGTGGTAAGAGAGGTTTAAGTTAGCTAAAAATATTCTTTTTATCACATTCTCCTCAAAGGCAATCCAAATGTAACTTACAGCCAGACCAAAAGGTCACAAATAATAATAGCAAAAGTCAAACTTTTATTATCTTATTACAATTAAATATATTATTTTTGTATATCATGTTATCTATATTTATGTTATATATGCAGTTATTATAAAAAGTATATTGTTCTCTAACTCTCATTTTTAGCTCCATGGAATAACATTTCTAACTAGAAACTATTGTCTGACAGAACTGTATCTAAACAATAATGCAATATTTGAGATAGAAGGTATGTCTTAAATTTTCTGTTGATTTAATAGATTTTCAATTAAGTACTTTCAAATATGGTAATTGCTAATGACATGCAAAAATCTGTTTTAACATTTCTGTTGAAAATATATTAAGGAATCTATTTTTAAATGTTTTAATGTACATTTTATATTAAGAAATGTGCTATTAGATTACTTTTCTAATTTAATATTGCCAGGTGTCTTATTCAAAATTTAAAATAATTTTTAACAAGTATTTTAGACATAAACTAGACAGTGGAAGCAAATTTTAACAATAGTTGGGAGCATTGATAAATACAAAAACTTAATAGTCTTAAGAAATTTTATTGGCAGTATGTTCTACCAGCCAAATTCCTGCTTTCACTCTGAGTTAATTTTATATGCAAAACACTCTCAAAACTGATAGTTTCAAGCCATTCGTAAAAGCACGTGGCATACCATGATCATCAAATACAGAGGTACAGTACAAAACACTTTTCTTTAATATCATATATCATAGAATAAAAATGTCATACATTTTAAGGCCCATCATGATTTCATGCACCACTAAGAAAGAACATCTTGCCAATGAAGCTATGACATGGCTATCAAAAGACACATCCCACTTTCATTTATGTCAAAAATGTAGGAAAATAAACAATTTAGAATCTATGAAAATAATATGAATATTTGGTTTCCAGTTATGTACAGAAAATACTTAGCTATGCAATTTGGAGGAGATGAGTAATTTTTCCCTTGACTAGCATTATAAATCTAAGTAACATTGACAAGCAAAAAAAAAAATCCAAAACCAAAACCAAACAAAAAGAAGGAAACTAAGCCCTCCAAAATCAATCAAACAAACAAAATCATTGCTACATTTTAAAAAGTAAGACAATCTGGTCACGGGGGCTCATGCCTGTAATCCCAGTACTCCGGGAGACCTACGCGGGTGGATAACCTGAGGTCAGGAGTTTGAGACCAGCCTGGCCAACATGGTGAAACCCCGTCTCAACTAAAAATACAAAAATGAGCTGGGTGTGGTGGTGGACGCCTGTAATCTCAGCTACTTGGGAGGTTGAGGCAGGAGAATCCCTTGAACCCAGGAGGCAGAGGTTGCAGTAACCTGAGATTGTGCCATTTCTCTCCAGCCTGGGCAACAAGAGTGAAACTCCATCTCAAAAAAAAAAGTAAAACAATAACAGTGGAAAGAAATTTACTCTGTATTCCCACATCACAATTAATTGTATGAATTATACCTTATTGTATTCTTAATAATAATTTATAATACATTATTAATAGTTATTCCTTCTTTATCCAGCTATCATATGTTTTCCTTTTTAGTTAGCATGTTAATTAGCATTAAAAATGTTTATTTTTATTTGCAATAAAAAAATTGAAAAAAATGTTTAAAATCTTGTAAAAATATTCTGTTTTTTTCTTTTTAGGCCTGCATTGTTTGCCTTCATTGAATATACTCCTGCTACACCACAATGAGTTAACCAATATTGATGCAACAGTGAAGGAATTACAGGGAATGCTAAATCTGAAGATCCTAAGTAACAATTTGCAATTTTATGTGGCCATAAATTAAAATAGTATTAACATAAGACATTTTTCCATTTATCAAGTTTAAAATTAGAGGAGCAATGTTTATAATTAAGATATTTAGGCCAGGCACTGTGACTCACGCCTGTAATCTCAGTGCTTTGGCAGGCCGAGGCGGGCGGATCACTTGAGCCCAGAAGTTCCACACCAGCCTGAGCAACATGGTGAAACCCTGCCTCTACCAAAAATACAAAATTAGCCAGGTGTGGTGGCACATGCCTGTAACCCCAGCTACTCAAGAGGCTGAGGCGGGAGGACAGCTTGAACCTGGGAGGCAGAGGTTGCAGTGAGCCAAGATTGCGCCACGGGACTCTAGCCTGGGCAACAGAGCAAGACCCTGTCTCAAAAAAAAAAAAAAAAAAAAATTAGATATTCCTGAAAGTAAGACTAGATCTTATTGTCTTTTAAGAAATGCTTTCGAGAAAACAACAGAAAAATTTTTGTGTGTGAAATGCTATCTATCACATGTCTAATGAAAATGACAAAAGTAGCAAGAGGATTTACATGTTTAAATTTATTTTGGGTTTTATCTCAAAAGTAAGTTTTAACACATATTATATGATTCCATTTATATAAGTGTCCAAGTAGGCACATCTATAGGACAGCAACACTGAGAGGTAACTGTTTTTAAATAGATGAGCCTTGCCAACGGCCAAGGAATTGGGGGGTTGTGACAGCCAGAGAGTAAAGGGTGTGGGGTTATTTTTGGGGTGCTAAAATGTACTAAAATTGACTGTGGTGATCAGTTGCATAACTTTGTGAATATCACAAACACATGAATCATATGTTTAAACTGGTGAATAGTGTGGTACATGAAGTATAATTAATAAAGCCGATACCAAAAAAAACCAAAAAACAAAAAAAAAACAGAAGACTTTTTAAGCTTTCAACTGGATAACCTGGATAACCAGCAAACTTTATTCATATATATTGAATCACACCCAGTAAGGAACTAACCTATTGAAAAGAAGTGTGAGATGAGTCAAAAAAATAAATAATACACTACTCCTACTCTCAATAAGCTTATGGTCTTGAAGGGTAGATAAACATGTATACAACCACAATACAAGATAAAGGATTCTGGGTGTACTAAGGTAAAAGACTTGCAGATCGAAGAGGAGGTTTTCAGACTTTAGAGTTTAGAGACCTCTTTATAATAATGTAATGCAATAGATATATTTTTAAATTCCTTTTCTATTCATTTCTCAGAATTGCCTGAGACAGTATTTTGAATAGTTATAAACTAGTATTGATGGTGAAGGTTCTAATCAGATAATCAGATCAATGTAGAGAGAGTTACTAAAGTTTCCATATGTTTTCAGTGTTGTCAGTTATATGTACTATACTGAGGGAAAATGATTCATTTGTAATAGTTAGATTATTTAAACCCAAGTATTAAAATCACAAAACTACACCAAGTTCATGGCAATTTTATGCTTATTTTGGAGACATGAGAAGGCTGCCTGCTGTCAGGAGTTTTTTTTACAGCTTTTGGATCTTCTGTGAAAGAATTGGCCTGCATATTTGAGTTACCTGGCCCATATCTGCTGAAAAAATGCTGCTATAATTAAAAGACTAGTTATGCTAGACCTAGGACACTTACCTTTGCTTTTCTATAAAATGGGCTGACAGCTACCCCTCAGGGTTGCTTTAAACATTAGGATAACTCTGTAAACACTTTTTAAGAAAACATTTCTCACCATTAATGTTATTTTGAAGCAACAACAAAAATTGAAATTCTAAAATAAGAAAAAAAATGTTTTATTGTGGATTATGTAAATCAGATAATGAAATAAGTTGCATCCAGTCTCAAAATTCTGCTAATAGACTCAAGAAAACAACTGCTATTTTAAATAATAATCATACAGTAACACGTTTGAATGTCTTTCTTGTTGAAAAAAATGTTTTATTATAGTCTCATTTAAATCTTTACAGCATCCTATGATGTGACTAGAATTATTCCCTTTAATCATGGAAATGCAAAGCTCACAGATTTAACCGAACTCTTAAGGAATGTTGAAACACAAATTCATGCCTTATTTTACTTATCATTTATTTATTTATTCATTCATTCAATAAATATTTATAATTTATTCATTCATTCATTTAATAAATGTTTATCACACATTCACTACATGATACTATTCTAGATAATAGGACTCAAATTTGAACAAGAGAGGCCCAGTCTATACCTACATAGGGCTTACAAATTTGTAACACTCAGACTAAATATTTCTTAGAGTTGAAGGGGTTTGATGCAAAATGATTTGCTACTTTAAAAACTCTATAATTTGAGGAAACTTGTTATAAAACAACATTTGGAGAGTAGTAAACAAGCTTACTCCCATAGTAATAAACAGAGTCATGCCCATAGTAATAAACAAGGTTATGCCTTGAACAAAGGTGCCCAGCCCAGGACCAAATAGATCCTGAAATCTAGCCCATGCCCTACTTGTCAAGGGTGTACGTGAGCATAGAATTGTGCCAGGCATAAGGGGTGGGAGTTTTCTAGTTTTTAAATACCAGTCTGGTAGTATAATGTCCGTATCATTACCAGTCACAATAGTTTACGACCACTATTTAAAATCATAGTGATGCAATTCAAGTTATGTAACTGTAATTTTCCAGTTGAGAATCTTGTTGTGGGATCATTTGTTTGAAATGGAGAAAATGTTATGTCCAATTACAAAAAACAAAAAGCGTTTTCTAAAAATTCACATTTTGAACTCATGTCCCATTTTGGTTAAAGATGTTGCATGGAAAATAGTTTGTATTTACTAGATAACTAATGTTATCTGTGCAGTCATGTCTTCAGATTAAGTTTCTATGAGCCTCATTTGCAATCACAGATTAGCTTTAGCTCATTAACTAAAATGAGAAATCTATGTGTTTTCAAATGTGGTCATTTTTGTCTTTTTAAGTTGTAAATCCATGTGCAATTATAAAGTGTTGTTATTATTTCACTTAAATGACAAGTTCTTCAGAGGGTGAGAAAATAGCCTGAAGGGCAGAAACACTAATCCATTCTCAGCATTGCACTTTCCATTGGCATGTATGAGGAGAATTGCCAAGGATTGCCTAGGAGACGCATGGCTGAGAGCTTCAGGGAGGCCTAAACCAGCTGCAGAGTGTGAGGTCCTGGGAACTGGAATTCCTGTCTTCCGGGCAGAGTCAGGGGACTCCACCTCTTCTCTCCAGGCAGTCTACCTTTCCACACCCTCTCTTTCCAACTCAGTTTTCCTCTTCCTTTCCCTTCCCTCCTCCAAATTCTTTCTAAATCAGAATCCACATGTGTCAAAGACCCACTTTGTGGCTGATGGCTTTCATTAACTCCTGCCTCCTTTCCAGTACTAAGGGAAAAAACACCACCACCACCAAAAGCCACAGCATCAAAATGCTTAAGCCAGTCTCCTGTTCTAAACCTTCAGTTTTCTCATTTCTTTCTAATTTTCTGTTTTATTAAGTTCCACTGTTGGAAAGTATGCTTAAGACTCCTGCATGCCATAATTGTTAAGACCTGCTTCCTACTGGAGCTTCCAGGAATCAGCATTGGGAACAGGGAGCTCCTCCTTTCATGAGAGAGTCTCCATGTTTCCACAGGTATTGCTTTTAAATATTGTCTGCCTTTGTCTTTAGCAGTGGCCCCAATCCACTGCCGATGGCAAAAAGCCAGGGGTGCAGAGGGATGCTGGGAGATGGGGTGGGACTAGGATCTCCAGGGTCCCTTGCTTTGTGCCTCTTTTCCTATAATACCCTTCCAGGTGGGACCACCCCTCCCAAAAGACAAAACAATTCAGCAAAGAAAAAGAACCAACAGTGGTTTTCACTACTGTTTGTCCTGAAAAAGATAATGTTCTGATCCCTCCTCTCTCGATCCTCTGCTTTATCCTAGTTTGCCTTTTACAATCAGGGGTGATTTCCATATTCAGTAAAAAGCACATGGTGTGTGGTGGCCACCGGATTTTTAGTTAAAACAAGATGATGATTAACAATGGAGATGCTGACCTTACTAAGTAAGCTTGACCCAGAGCCTCACAATCCTGGTATCTGATTATTGACAGCTGAACTTCCTTCCACGAGCTGCTCTCTATAGGCTTTTAACTTCTCCGTGTCATTTTCTTTTTCCCATATAGTAAAATTGGGATGTTGGTCTCTTATTAATTACCTCAACTTTCTTCGAAGGCAGCCTGAAAAACATTGGGGTTCATTTAAATAACGATTTTAAATACTGCTTTAAAAGTTTACAAAAAAATAACTGGAGCCAATTATTTAGATATCTTTTTTTTCCGCTTCTGTCTTGATAATAAGTGGCTTCATACCCGTGACTCATGTAAGTCAAGCTTGTGTGGTAAGGTAGTAGAGACATTTTGATATATCATTGGGTAAATGTAAATTGCTTAGACTCAGAATCCCAAATTAAGATAAGCAAGACAGTGCTGGCGCCACTGAGGTGTACACTGTAAGTAGCCTAGAGGGAAGGTGGATTAAATAGTATTAACCTATTGAAAGTGAAAGTGTAAGCAATTTCTCTTCATAGTTTCTAAAAGAATGTGCCCGTACATCACAGAAGGCTTTCAGAACATTCAGACACAGGAAACCGATTTCACATCTTAGACATTTAATTTATGTTGATTTTAGTAGCATCAATCCAAAACTCATAAATCCAAAATGTTAAATGTTTCATAGTATAGAAGGAAAAAAGAGAGTTAAAAATAAGATTGCTTCCTTCTAAAATTTAAGAGCTAGGAAACAGTGAATAATAATGATGAAATGCCTTTCAAGTTATTTAATTCAATTTTTTTTTAAGTTAATTTAAGCAGAGGCTGGGCTAACAGTTCAGATTTCTGATTTTATGTCATTCAGTTTTGACTTTATGATGAGATGAATGGTCAACCACAAGTCCATAGAGTTTTTAGTATCAATATGTTGTTAATAAGTAATGTAACATTAGTAATTCCAAGTTTTGTGTTTTATTTAGCTGAAGCTAGTTTTTGAATTTCCATATAGAAGTTACTTAACCAAGGCTTAGCAGAAAAAGCCAAGAAATGAAATGAAATGGATAGTAATGTCCTCAGAGGGAAAAGAGAAGAGGAAGGGTGCACCTAGAGAAAATGTCATTGAAAGATGTTGGTACATTTTCCATTAACGTCATATGTAAAGGCAGACTCTACTTCCAGATGCTATAATGTGTAACAGGGTTATGAGGTGTCAGATGTGATTCCCCAAGACAGTAACCACAAAGCAGACTTCTGTGCTAAAGCATCTGTGACTTTTTCTTCCTTCTGAGTTCTCATGAAAAACAATTATGCTTTGCTTTTATATCCTTGAAGAGGGTCCTTTTCTTTACTTTCTCTGGCTCGAACTACAATTCATGAACCCTATGGCTCTTTTAAAATCTGTCCTTATTAGTGGTTTAATATACCTCTGTTCTATTCCCTGTCCTTCAGTTATAATTATTTGTTACCACTTTAAAATGCTTCTCTTTTAAGAATAAAATTCAGATCATTTTCTGTCACTTAAGAAATCTTGAAAAAAAAATTGTTTTGTCTTCTCATTTTCTCCATTACATACATATTTCCTTTCTTTTAAATTTCTCTGTGGCTCCTGGCTCTACATTTTCCTGTATGCCTTTCCTCATTCCTGTAACTTTTGTTTATTATGCACCAGGTGTCTTCCATTGCCTGCTTTATGTCCCTCTAAAGCTCGTGTTTTCCACAGGGAATAGCTATATATAACGCTTTTATTAGCCAGAAAAAGTTGTGTTTATACAACAAATATCAGAATGTTTTATTACTACAGAGAAAACTTCCAGATGATTGACCTTTTTTAAGTTTTTATCTAGTTTGTTATCTTTTAAGCATGCACCCACCCCAATCTTCTTTATGTTACAAACTGCTCTTTATAAATATTAATCAGTTTTTTTCAGAGGTTCTAATGCTTCCTATTTTCAGGCCTTTATCAAACCTCTTTGTATTTTATGAATAGTCTACAACAGTATTCTTAAATTTCACATGTACATTAAGTGAGTTTCATTTTGAGTGAAGTAGTTGTGCAGTAGCTGGAGCTCTTTCTCTTACTGCCATCTAGTGGTTCTCCTCATTAGTTGTATTTTCAGAAGCATTTCCTAGAAATTGCACGTAGGTAGGCAGAATCTGAATAACTAAAGATGCCCAGCCAGGCACAGTGGCTCATGCCTGTATTCCCAGCATTTTGGGAGGCCAAGGCAGGCGGATCACGAGGTCAGGAGTTTGAGACCAGCCTTGCCAACATGGCAAAACCCCGTCTCTACTAAAAATACAAAAATTAGCTAGGTGTGGTGGCAGGTGCCTGTAATACCAGCTACTCAGGAGGCTGAGGCAGGAGAATCGCTTGAACTTGGGAGGCAGAGGTTGCAGTGAGCCAAGATCATGCCATTGCACTCCAGCCTGGCAACAAGAGCAAGACTCTGTCAAAAAAAAAAAAAAAAAAAAAAAAAAGCCCAACTGAAAATCTTTAAAGTTTTATTTCACATTGTGCTGAAAAAAAAATGTTTATTATCATCTAGGATGAATAGGGAAAATATCATTTAAAAAAAAAAAAAGCTCTCACAACTTCTAGTTGAAGATGTTTAAGAACACCTATGTGCTGATTCCCAAGGGATATGATGTCAGAAGTGCCAGGGCTTCTTCTGCATCCACATGCCTCATTCTTCCAACCACTGCATTAGGAAGTGCGGTTTATCGCAAATCCTAGCACCTGCACACCAGGATCTCAGAAATGCACGTGCCTGGCCAGAGATAGACAAAATGCAAGAGCCACATCTGCTCAACTTTGGTCCTGCTGAGATCTGAAACTACTATCGACACATTCTGAACTATGAGCAATGGTGTGGAGGAAATAAATTCTATTAGAGCAGGATGTTGTGTCTCTGCCTATCTTCACGCATGCACCCTTGTGAACTTGGAGACCAAAAGAAGACTACCAAGTGATATTTTAATAAAAAGTAGCCTCCAATAGAGCTGATATCTAGTTCTTCATTTACTAATTTATTCATGGACATGTTAAAAATTTCCCTCATTTGTGGCAGATTTGGGTCAATGATATGATCATAGCCCTTAGCACAGTTCCTAGTAGATAGTAAGCACTTAGTTAATATTTGTTGAATGAATGAATTGAACAGATAGAAAAATTAACTGCTGCTCTAAGTAAAGGTTTCATGGGTCTATTGCTGGATATGAAGAAGAGCTTTATAAGTTCTTATGTTTTATATGAATCTCTTAATTTTTCGTATTTTATAAGTGATACATGAAACTGATTTTGAAATCTGACATTTTATTTTGGATTCTTCATTTGCAGGTCTATACCAAAATCCTTTGTGCCAATATAACCTGTATCGTTTATATATCATCTACCACCTTCCAGGAGTGGAGCTGCTTGACCGAAATCGTAAGGATCCTTCCTTCTTGCAAAGAAATATTTGAGAAGTAGTCTTATAGCTCAGTGGTTATAAATGAAGACTACCTTTGAAAATACGTTTTTGTAAAAAATATCCCTTTGAATAATTGTCTTTGTAAATGAAAGTTTTTCAATTACTTATTTTTGAAAGATTTGCTCTCTAAAATGTGCCCTGATTTAGAAATTCACGTCTCTTTACTATTTGATTAGAAAGGCCCTCTAACTGAGCATGAGGAAAGTGGTCCTTCTGGTTCTGGTTTTGACATTAACACGTTGGATGCCAAATCGTTTACCTCCCGGCACCTTAGTTTCTTATCTCAAAAGTGAGGGAATTGGAATAAATCTCATGAGGCCTATTTAAGTTCTAAAAGTCACGCTTTTTAAAATTCTGTAAATATGTATATATTGAAACATACAATGAATGATGACTTCTTTATGAATGCCCCTTCAAGATAGCATGTCAGATTTCTATATGCCACATGCACACACACACACTCAACCTCAGCATATTACGCTTAACATTTTTTGAGGCCTATTTTGCTCCCAAATGCTATATTATCTATCTGCTTACCTCTCTGTCTCTATAGGTTTGAACATTCTTAATAATTTATTACTGAGTAACTACTTTCTATAGGATACATCAGAAACTTACGGTTATACCTCTCCTTTCTAATAGCCTTGAGGAAATGAAAGGATGTTTCATGCTAAAATTTTAATCATCCTTGGTGATATGTTAAAGGGTGTTCGGGATGCATTAGACTGAAGGATTAAGCTCTGTCTTGTGACATGTGGGGTGTATATTGAGTGCTTGTAAGATTATGGAAATAACTGTGATAGCCCCTTTACAAAATGATTTTGACAGGATGTTCACATATAACATAGTTTAGATAAATACATTCTTGAAAGTATTCAGTTCTATTTTGAATCACTCTGCCTATTTATAATGCTATGCAATAACATTACTTTTTGCATTTATCAGAAGTTACAGAAAAAGAAAGAAGATCAATGATTACCATTTTTAACCATAAAAAGGCTCATATCGTTCAATCAATAGCATTCAGAGGAAAAGTAGACGCTTCATGGGGTCCTAAATCACCATTTAAGCAAAAACCAGCCCAGAGAGTACCTTCAGGTATTTTGCAAAAAAAAAAAAAATTTAATGAAATTAAAACTTCTCAAACTTTTGGGTAATTTGATTGTAATAATAGCAACTAAAATTTACAATAAACTTAAGTATCTAAATAATGGAATAATTTCTAATATATTTGCTAACTTTATAATACTTTTAGTCCAGTTAAAGTAGGTATGCAATTTTCATCCTCACTCATGCATGTGAAATCAAATGGGGTGCTGTGATAATAATGAGATAATACATTGAAGCCTCTATCCCAGTATCTAACACAGTGTAAAGGGCTCAATAAATAAGCTATCGTTATTTTTATTACCACTGACATGGATGATTTTACCAATTAAGGCTATATAATTTTTGATAATATAGAAAAAATACTAAGAAGAAATAAAGATCATCTGCAATTCTACCATCCAGAAATAAGCACTGGTAATATTTCGATTATGTTCACAAGGTCATTATATGCAAGTATAACTTGAATATTTTCAGGATTTTTCCTTAGTAGGAATTTAATTTCATATTTGTAACAGAAATGGAAAAAAATAGGGGTTTAGTTTTTTCAGACAGCAAAGAATACAAAAATACGGTATCTAGGGTTAAAGTTCTATGATGTCATTAGTGTTTGAGGATATATCTGTCTTTTGTTCTGCTACTCTTAGTGTGCTTTATGATTACAAGGTGGTTGGTATACCACCAAGCCTTACATCTCCATTCCAGGAAGGAAGAGAGGGTGGATGAGAAAAGGTGCAAAGGTAAAATCCTTGTCTTTATGACACTTTGCCAATGAGACAACATACATTTTTTAAAAAACCAAATCAAGTATTTAGAAATAAAGGGGAAACTGAATTGAAAAATAGTTTGGAAGAAATTACCCAGGATACTACATGGAGAAAGAACACGATAGAAGATATGAATTAGATATTGAGAAAAGGAGAGACATTAGAAAGAGAAGGTCCAATATAAGTTTAGTAATAGTTCCTGAAAAACAAATTATAGATAGAAATTGAGCAGAAGGTAATGTTTAAAGTGATAATGGCTGGAAAATTTCCCAAACTGATAAATAAATTCTTAGACCAATCAGACAATTACCAGAATTGGCAAAGAATTCGTAGATACACCAGACAAAATGAATCCAAACACAAAAAAGACACGTAACAACAACAACAACAACAACAACAACAGAAGTCTTCACTAAAGGCAAAACCATCTTAAAGCAGTCGGAGAGAAAACCCAGATGACCTACAAAAGAATAACATAGAGATTCACCACAAACTCCCCAGCTACAATCGTGGAAGTCAGAAAACAGTGATCAGAAGTTTTTAAATCAAAACCATAACGAGATACCATCTCACACCAGTTAGAATGTAGATCATTAAAAAGTCAGGAAACAACAGATACTGGAGAGGATGTGGAGAAATAGGAATGCTTTCACACTGTTGGTGGGAGTGTAAATTAGTTCAACCATTGTGGAAGACAATGTGGCATTCCTCAAGGATCTAGAACCAGAAATACCATTTGACCCAGCAATCCCATTACTGGGTATATACCCAAAGGATTAAAAATCATGCTACTATAAAGACACATGCACACGTATATTTATTGCAGCACTATTTACAATAGCAGAGACTTGGAAGCAACCCAAATACCCATCAATGATAAACTGGATAAAGAAAATGTGGCACATATACACCATGGAATACTATGCAGCCATAAAAAAGGATGAGTTCATATCCTTTGCAGGGACATGGATGAAGCTGGAAACCATCATTCTGAGCAAACTAACACAAGAACAGAAAACCAAACACCGCATGTTCTCACTCATAAGTGGGAGTTGAACAATGAGAACACATGGACACAGGGAGAGGAACATCACACACTGGGGCCTGCTGGGGGCTGGGGGTCCGGGGGAGGGATAGCATTAGGAGAAATACCTAATTTAACGGACAGGTTGATGGGTGCAGCAAACCACCATGGCACATGTATACCTATGTGACAAACCTGCATGTTCTGCACATGTTTCCCAAAACTGAAAGTATACTAAAATGTGTATATATATTTACAGTTGTCTAACTTACCAGGCATGGTGGCTCACACTTGTAATCCCAGTACTTTGGGAGGCTGAGGCAAGTGGATCATTTGAGGTCAGGAGTTTGAGACCAACCTGGCCAACGTGGTTAAACCCCATCTCTACTAAAAATACAAACTTAGCCAGACATGGTGGCAGGCTCCTGTAATCCCAGCTACTTGGAAGGCTGAAGCAGGAGAATCGCTTGGACCTGGGATTTGGAGGTTGCAGTGAGCTAAGATCACATCATTGCACTTTAGCCTGGGTGACAGAGCAAGACTCTGTCTCAGAAAAAGAAAGAAAAGGAGGGAGGGAGGGAGGGAGGAAGGAAGGAAGGAAGGAAGGAAGGAAGGAAGGAAGGACGGAAGGAAGGAAGGAAGGGGAAAAAGAGAAATATTTACAGTCTATTCTCTCCGAAGCCTGCTACCTGGAAGCTTCATCTGGATGTTAAAGCCTTGGTCTTCACAACCCCTTTTCATAACCCATTCATTTCTATTGATAATAACTCTTTCAACCAATTGCCAGTCGGAAAATGTTTAACTCTACCTTCTGACTTGGAATAGCGGCACTCACCCTGCTTTGAGTTGTCTTGTCCATCCAGATTGAACCAATCTAAATCTTACATGTATTTGACTGATGTCTGTTATAGGAGTAGACCATGCTGTGGAAGGAAAGTAGTCTTTAGATAGAAAATCTCCCCTCTTAAAAACAGTTAATGCACACAATAACAAATAATGCAAGGTCAGCCCCCACAATCTATTTTTCAGTGCTATAATTATTATCGGTGTGATCGCCACCTTTAGGGCTCTACATTTCTTTTGTTTAACCAGACTGCTGAAAGAACTAGAATCGTTTTTTAAATTCTCTTGGCTCCTTTTCATATTGAACCTCCAAAAACAAAATCAGGAGCAGAAAAGATAGGGAGAGTATTTTATTGCATTTGAAAATTTTTCTTCTTAATTAACAGATATGTTGACTAAAGCCTCTAATAATTGACGGAACAATTATTATAAATCTACTCATTTTCTGCAAAAGGTCACTATATCATAACAACTAAAAAGTATTTTTAGCCCAGAGTATGGCTTATTTTAGCATACCTTAATTAAGCAAACATTTATAGTAAAACACACTATGTAAATTTTTAAAATTTATCATATTTTGTAGCTTCTATATTTGTTTTGTTATAAATCTTACCTTATTGTGACTTTCTAAAAAAATTAGTAGAGTAATTCTAAGAGAAATATGAATTATTTTATTGAAAAGAAATTACACTTAAAAATGTTTATGAAGCAATCATAAAGCCACATTTTGATTTTATTATCCTTAATCTAAAGTTGAGAAAGAAACCAATTATATTTCTAATATCTTGAGAAGCAAGATCAATTTTAAGTTTTCTTCAAATCCCATCTATCAGTCCTTATCAAATAAGTATGGTTAAAAGGGTTGTACAAATTTTCATTACTGTCTCTGGGTTTTATTGCAAGATAGCCGGTATTCTCAGAACCAAAACACTTTGGGCTTCTACCTGGCATTAAGGAAACTCATTTGCAGATTTTTCACCAATATATCTAGATGTAGAAAGACATTAAGGGGAATTTAAAATAAAACACCAACAAGCTTTTAAAATGTCCATTAGTGGTCCAAAAGTGAGGCTGCCAGATTTCCACCATGTTTGCTGAAGACAGAGCTCCAGGTGCTGAGCCCAAGCTGGGGTATAGTGTCACAGAGCCTGGGCCTGGCAGCTGAGGCATGTACTACTCAGGAAAAGGGAAGGGTAAGTCCAAAAAGGAAGACCAGGCAGACTATTTAACAAACAGCAATTCACCAAAAAGTGCATCAGTACAGACAAGGCAGGACAGAATCCAGGGAAAACAGATAATTGAAAGTTATGAGCTGGGAGATCAATGGCTCAGGAAATCAAGTCTTGAAGACGTTTCTGACTTTGGGTAGCTATGACATACCAGGCACACCCAGAAGAGTAAATGCCAACCCCTACCTATGCATGAAGGTTCAGGTAGGTATTAGAGGTCAATGTGAGATCTAGAGATTGTTTGGCATAGGGCTGAGCAATTGAGGGAGCTGTGTAGACTCAGAAAAATTTGTGAAAGCAAAAATCAGCAGTCAACAGAGCTTCCATGTTGCATAACTTCAATGGACACTCTTAGCACAGCAAACATTTACTGAGGCCTCCTCTAGAATTGTGCCAGAAAGTAGCCCTGGGCCAAAGAGAGAAACTAGAACTACTTTCTAAGGGAGACATCATATACAAAAATAGATTCCAGAGGGATTGAATATCTAAATGTAAGGGAAATAAAAAAGTACTGGAAGAAAATACTTTCATAATCCCAAAGTGAAGGCTAATCAAAACCTCACACAAAACTCAGAGGCCATCAAAGAGAAATGTTGACAGATTTAACTACATAAAAATGAAAAACAATTATATGTATCCCATAAATATGTATAACTAGCATGTATCCACAATAATTAAAAATAAAAAGCATCATATAGGAAGAAAATTAAAATGCAAGATTGGAGGAAGTCTTTATAACATATATAATAGGCAAAAGTTAACACCCATAATTTCTAAAGGACATCTCCAAGTCAATTTAAAAATCCCAGTAGAAAACAAAATAAATGACATGGACAAGACATATGTACAAAGAAAGAAATGTAAATAATGATCACCTTCACTAATGATCAAATAAGTGGAAATCAAAACAATGAGATACTACTTTCATCCAACAAGTAGGCAGAAGTTTTAAAGGGTTGTTAAAGATGAGGGGGAAAGAGCACAATTCATGTTATTGATGGGAATGTAAACTCGTTCAACTCTCTTGGATGACCATATGGCAGTATCCACCAACATACAAAATGTGCAAACCATTTGACACAGCAACTAAATTTGATCTCTCCCTTACAGAAGTGCTTGCACATATGGACAAAGAAAAAATATATGAGTATAAGTCTGCATTTTGCAATATTTTTTATAATAGCAAAAGTAGTAGAAACAATTTAAATGGTCATTCATAGGAGAATGTTAAATAGACTATGGCACATTTGTATAATACAAACTATTCCATTATAGAATCAATCCATAATATATTTGGGGGTATTAAAAACACCTTGACAAGGCGGGCAGATCACCTGAAGTTTGAGACCAGCCTGGCCAACATGGTGAAACCCCATCTCTATTAAAAATACAAAAATTAGCCGGGCGTGGTAGTAGGCGCCTGTAATCCCAGCTACTCAGGAGGCTGAGGCAGGAGAATCACCTGAACCCAGGAGGCAGAGGTTGCAGTGAGGCAGAGATTGCAGTGAGCCGAGATCGTGCCACTGCACTCCAGTCTGGGCAACAGAGAGAGACTCCGTCTCAAACGAAAACAAAAAGCAAAAACCATACTCATTGGAAAAGCAGTATACTATGAGTAATAACAAAATTGGAATTTTGTCAACAAACAAATCTCTATGTATATGTACATGTAGACATGTGAGTACATATGTGACATACAGGCTGGAAACATACACACAAAACTTTTAATAGTGATACTTAATAGTAGTAAGAGGAAGTGGAAAGGTTAAAGGGAAATTTCCCTTTTTGCTCACTATTTTCTTTATTGTTTATATTCATTATAAGTAAAGTATATGCTCTTTGTAATTAAAAATGTAGAAGAGAACAGGGGAGTCCTGTCATTTTTTGACAATATGGATGACACTGAAGAGCATTATACCAAATGAAATAAGACAGACACAGAGGAACAAATACTGCATGATCTCACTTATATGTGGAATTACAATAGTCAAACTCATAGAAGCAGAGAGTAAAATGGTGGTTGCCAGGTGCTGTGGGGAAGGGGAGATGGGGAGATGTTAGTTAAAATGAACAAAGTTTAAATTATATTACACAAATGAATAAATTCTGAAGATCTTACGTAATGTGACGATAGCTGTATTGTATACTTGAATTTTACTAAGAGGGTAGATCTTAAGTGTTCTCACCAATACACACAAAAAATGGCAGAGGTCTGGCTGATGAATATGTTAATTAGATTGTGTTGATTATTCACAATGAATACGTATATTAAAACATCAAGTTGTACACCTTAAATATATGCAGTTTTTATTTGTCAATTATACCGCAATAAAGCTGGGAGGAAAATGTAGAAAAAGATAGCCTAGGATGATCCAAAATGCATGAAAGACTTTTGTCAGCCACTTATGAAGGGAACAATGCTATGAATTCTAAGGCAGAGAGGCTGTGTGGTCGCTACTGCTTGTGGAATGGCAAGAGCTGATACTGTGGGCTTTACTGGCACAACAGGTGCTGGTAAAATCCATCTCTGGACGGGCACTAGGCTTTCTGGAGGGAAATCAACAAAGCAGTGACCATCTCTGGAAGACACCATAAGAAATCCAGGTTTTGAGGACTAGTCTTGGAGCTTCAAAGCTAGGAAGATCTAGATTCTTGTGATCTAGTATTTGTTTATTCTGTTTCTTTACAGTTAATGCCAAGAATCCAAATAGTTGAAATGTTCCTAACTATTTCTCCTCATTTGGACTGTTAGTCCATTTATAGACGCATGTGCCTTTCAGAAGAAAAGGGATAGGTTTCAGTATCTTATATCAGCCTCAGTATATTAATTACAAAAATTTCCACTTGGATTCCATTGGTACATTATAAATTGACTAAGCTTTCCATTCTCAGGGTTTTGAAATTTCTATTGTATTAAAAAAATTGCCTCAAAACCTAAGGCAAAACCCAGTATATCTAAGAGAAAGTTTTGCTTTGGAGTTAGATAAAAAGGGATTTTTGACAGATTGAACTATTTGTGTAAAGGATAACTTGAAAGTCCTGTTTTATACTTTTCTTTTATAGCATCGTTCCGTTGTTTTCAAATGCTGGATAAATATTTTAAAATACTAACTTTAAAATGTATTTTTTTTTAGATTTTGGATTTGCAAATAATGTAGACAAGTAAGTAATTTTATCTATACATTTATTATCAGATTATTTCATAATTGTGTTGTCCCTTTAAATCATCTCCATTTCCTAAAATAGATTTTAATGAGTTAAAAAATGACTCACTCTTCAATAGATGAGAAAAATTGGTAGGTCTTTCTGTGATGAATGAGTTCAAGCTCTGTCTTCATATTTGACATACTTGGGCTTTTAATATTACTATCAAAATCCTAAATAAGTAAAAAGATAATTTGATGCTTAGAAAAATAAACCTCGGCCGGGCGCAGTGGCTCATGCCTGTAATCCCTGCACTTTGGGAGGATGAGATGGGCAGATCACCTCAGTTCAGGAGTTCGAGACCAGCCTGGCCAACATGGTGAAAACCTGCCTCTACTAAAAATACAAAATATTGGCCGGGCATAGTGACGGGTGCCTATAATCCCAGCTACTCAGGAGACTGAGGCAGGAGAATCGCTTGAACCCAGGAGGCAGAAGTTGCAGTGAGCCTAGATCACGCCACTGCACTCCAGCCTGGGTGACAGAGTGAGACTCTGTTTCAAAAAATAATATAATAAAAACTAAACCTTAACTATTAGCTATTGTGAAAGTGGGGCTGTACATTCCTTGTTTAGCTATTCTCTAAATATGTTCGGTCATAGCAGTTATCATGTAGATTTATATTTTATATTCATTGGAATTTACATTTCCAAAAGCAAGCACCTCACTAAAAGTCCATAGAAGACTTTTCAAATTCATGAATACTGATGAATTTAGAGTCATCATTCCTTTTTATTTTTTCACTTAAGATTTTTTTTTTTGGATACAGTATGGAATATTATCTCCACATACATTTATAAAATATGGCATAATGTAGAAAAAAACTTAGGAATACAGTGAACTTAAGATAATAATATGCATATATCTATAAATATTTTAATCATCTCATTTAACATGGTTTTAAAACATGACTGCATTAGTATGTGAGACCTTAACTGTACTAATTGATCCCCAAATATGTTCAGGTACTTCATTTATAAAGTAAACAATATATACAATATAAATAGTGTCACTTAGCCTGAAAGTCATTTGTCAGTGGAGCCTGCAAATTATTTGTTAGTGGTACACAACTAATAACACAAATAACACAGAAAAACATGGCATTAATGCATTTGAATAAAAATTTCATTATGGTCAAATTTTCATTTTTGATTGCTTTTTTTCTGACATAATTGCTTTTTTTGCAGAACTGTGTTCGATGACCCAGAAGATGCTGTTTTTGTGAGGTCCATGAAGAGATCAGTGATGACTTTGACCTCTATGAACTGGAACACAGTTCCAACACGAGAGGAAAGATACCTCGAAGAGGAAGGCACAGAGCCGGCTCAAATGCTCACAGTTACACTGAGATGAGCCCTGGTATTTCTAGAAATCATAGTGGTTTTCAATTGTATATTAAACTTTCCCGTGACTTAGCGTATTACATACTACTATGATATTATTTGAGATATTTAAATGTAAACAGAAACACCAATAATGAAAAATAATTCTTACATTTTAGGTTTTTTAATGTAAAATTGTTTAAGTATAAATGTGTACAGAAATGTATAAAATTCATAAGTGTCCAACTCAATGAATTTTTAAAAATTGAACATGTTTATGTAACTGGCATGCTAGATCAAGAAATAGAACACTATCAGGACTCTGAAAGCTCCCTCCTTCCTGTACCAGTCACTACTCACCCTTCCAAAGTAATCACTGTCCTGATTTCTAGACAATAAATTAACCATGTCTGATTTCAAAAGGCATATAAATGGAATCATAGAAGATGAATATTTTGTGTCTGGCTTTTTTCACTTGACGTTGTAAGATTCATCCATGTTGTTGCTAGAAGCAATGATTCTATCATTCTTACTGCTATATAGTATTTCATTGTAAGACTATATAACACAATTAACTTATCTAGTGTACTATTTTTGACTCTTCTCTCTGGAGCTATTTGCCAGTTCTGGCTAACGACCTGGGTTTGGTATAGCCAGAAACTTGCTCCTTAGGGAAAAAAAAAATCCAAATGCTTTTAGCAGTTGCCTAGTACTGAGTGACAAAAGTGGACATTGAACATAACTCAAATTCATTACAGTTTTCCCTAAGGAGATAGATAAAAAGCTTACAAAGGGCAGAGCGACATCTCCCTCTAGCTGATGGTGCTTGGGAAACACAGACACACTGTAGAAGTGGACTGGAATCAAAACAGGCAAGAGATGAAAGCCTAGAAGGAATAATGAATTGACATTGAGAATCTACAGCCTTCATTCACCTGTGGGCACTTATCATTCTGTGCACGGCCAGAGTCTAAAAATTCAGATATGGTCCCTGGAAGAAGGTTGCAGCTAGAATAAAGAAAATGCAAAGATTTGCCCATTCATGTAGGTGAGGGGCTGGTATCATGACAAAAGTGGTTGTTTTTGGCTTCCAAGATTAGGTGATAGAAAGATTTGAAGCGTTCTCTTGCTTGGGCTTGGGCCATAATCCAAAAGACAAAAGACATAGTCCCAAAAATGTAATTCTAGAAAAAATAATTTAAAAAAATTAAAAGACATTTGTTTACATTTTTAAAAACAGATTTGTTTGAGAAACATTATATCTACAGAACATTTTATAGGCTACTTAATGCAATAAAATAGGCAATAATGACATATACATTTTTGCAAGTATAAGCACTCAGTTATACTAATGACAGTTGCACAGGTATAACAGTTATGAGTAGACAAACCATATTCATAAAGAAATAGGTCAAAAAGTAAAACGTATATCCCAAATGCAGACATACAAAAAGAACATCTCTTCACTTATTGAGGAAGTTTCAGTGTTTTCATGCACACACACACAATGCTTAAACACAAAAGTGTTGCAATAACATACTTTTGTGAAGTCAGATTTGTGAAAAATGTATAAAACAAATTATAACTCTAAGTCTTGACATGATTCCCATATTGGAAATAGAGGTATAAATTAGCAAATTATAAAAAGTAATGCTCACAATTTAAAATCGTGAATAAAAAACTAAAAAGACAATTGTACATATGAAAAAGTATATTATGGGAATAGGTTATAAGCTATTGGGACGAAGTAGGCCATAAGAGTTGGCTGACTTTCACAATTATTTAAATATTTATTTATTTATTTATTTATTTATTTATTTATATTTTTATGTAATAAAAAGTAAAAGTTCTTGTCCAGCCATCCTCCTGGGGCATCCATCTGTCTCTTACACAGGTCACTCAAGTTAATGGAAAATAAAGAACAGGGGACCTAAGTCTGAGGTTACAAATAACAGAAAATAAAAGATCTTCTGAGTCCAGCAGGGGAGTAGATAAGAGGATGGGAGGGCAATACTGGGTGGGGACAGGCAGGGACAGAGCAGGAACCCCCAACCCCTGCTGGACCCTGGCGCTGCCCTCTGTGAGGCCCCTCCCATTCAAGGTGCTTGGTAGGAATTCCCCAGCTCCCCTGGGGAAAGGGGGGATGGGGAACTGGGAGTGGTCCGAGCTGCTGGGGGAAGAGGCATAGATCACTCTTCTCTCCACTCATGGAGGTCTCAGGTCTCGGCCAGGAAAATCTTCAGTTCCCCAGGGGGTGGAAGGGGAGCTGCTGGGAGGGGTAAGATTGAACTCTGGTAAGTCAGGAGACAGTCGGGGTCAGTGAGAGCTTGGGGGTGTCCGATGTAGGGGTAGGGTGAGGGTGTGGAAGCTGAGAATGCAGGCACCCCACTCTGGGGCGCTGCATTTTGGGGGTGACCTCCCATGGCTCTGGGATGGGTGCAGCAGCATCACCTGGGGTGGATGGGGAGCCTCAGGGTGAGGGGGCGGGGCTGCGGTGATTCCAGTTTGGACATGAGCCTGGGGAACATGGGCCATGTTGGTGAAGCCTTGGGGCAGACGCTGGTGGTGGATGGCATACACAGTGGCTGGCTGGGGGAAGCTGCTCTGAGGGGACCAGGCAGAAGGTCCTGGAGGCAGAGAGGGCAGCATGCCGGCCAGGCCCCCTGAGTGGTACAGATTCTACTGTTGGCTGTCCACTGCCCAGGTGTGGAGCCACTCCTGCCTGATGCTGGACAGGACTGGGGGCTTCAGTCTGGTTCCAGGTAGGCATGGTAGCTGGCTGCAGCTGGTGGGCATGAAACTGTGTGGCATAGTGTGGGTAGGACTGATGAACAGTGACATAAAGGGCTTGAGGGGTGGGCTGCTCCGCAGAAGGGTACTGAGGGGTGGAGGATGACACAACGACCTGGGGACGTCAGCATGCGTGGGTTGCTGTGAAGCAAAGGGGCAGACACGGGCTGTGAGGCGTAGGGTCATGGGCTGCATCATGGCAGGTGGGCCTGGGAACTACTGAGTGTTGTAGGAGATGTAGGAAGAATAGGGCGTGGCAGCCACCAGAGGCAGGCGAGCAGCCACCGAGGTGGGGCTGAGGCTGGCTGGTATTGGTCCCAGAGCTATGGGCACAGGGAGCATTTTGCTCTCCAGTACTTGCCCGGCTGCTCAGACATTGAATTGGATACAGGATACGAATACATCTGAGATGCCCGCACAGCTGGTCTCATGTGGATCTGAGGTATGTAGGAGATGTACTGGGGGCTGTATAGCCCACTCTGGCCTGCTGTCAGCACTGGGATAGAGGGAGTTGAATGAATCCGAGGCCCTGGAGAAGTTGGGGTGCTGGTGGATTTATTCACAAACAGCAGAGACTTTGTGGGACTGAACTCCTTGGTATTGGGGTTCAACATTGATTACTTGTTCAGCAATAGGGCCCTCATCCTTGTCCTCTCCTTTGATGAGCCCAACTGGGGGGCTGCTGGTTTGGCTTGGGCAAGGTGGGGGGGGGGTGCTGTTCTGGGCCCTCAGTGCCTCCTGCTGGTGCCAGGGGTGGTCTGTCTTCCTTATCCCATATGGACTCTGTCTTGGAGGGGACCCCATGGGATCTGAAGTCAACAAACCATCAGCCTCCTTCTCCTTTCCTTTGGCCTCCTCCTTTAAGATCCAGGGAGGAAAAGGATCCAGGCTGTTCTCAGGGGAACTATTGGGCTGAAGCTTAAACTGGGCCCCAAACTTTCTGAGTTCTTCCAGTTGGAATAGTTTCTGTTCATTCTGAAGACCAGGGACTTTCCCAGCTATCTGAGCCAGCTACTGGGCTCCAGGGTTCTCTCAGGTTCCTTGGTAGAGAGTTCTTTTACAAAATCTGTGGGGTCCAGGGAGATCTTTGGAGAAACTGAGGAAATGGAGCCCATTCCAGGATCTGAGACTGATGAGGTCACAGGGATGGAGGCTGAAGATGTTGGCACTGCCAAGCCAATGGGAGGCTCAAGACAGGAAGCTGAGATTGGGGCAGGGGCAGCAGACTTGGGAGAACTCAGGGGATATATCCGGCCCACTGCAGGAGGAGGAACAGAAGTTTCTCCAGAAGGCCTATTATTGGGTGAAGACAGGGTCTTGGCACCTCTCAGAGGCCTCTGTGCCTTTGGGGACATGCAGGAAGGGCCTCCATTGATACCACGGGCCTCAGAACCTGAGCCAGGGTTGCTATTGTCCAGATGGTGAGGGCCACGAGGTGGCAAAGAGCTAAGGCCAGGCCAACCACACCGAGAGCTGCTGCATCAAACTCCTCCCTGGGGACCTTCCTGGATTCATTGAGGCAGAGGGATGATATACTTTATCTTCCTGGATGCCAACCTGGGGCTCTCCTGCCCTGAATACTGCCATTGGGCCACCCTGTGCTTCTCCACTCCAGTGGCCCATCATCACTCCATGGCGATCCACAGGCGGTACTGAGGGCTTGATTCAATCTCTCATGCCAACTGTGCCAAACGCAGCTCTCGCTGCTGAAACTCTTCCGAGTTGTCCTTTTCTAAGGGCACTGTGTAAGAAAAAAGACTGCTATCACAGGTGGTCTTCACACCGTAGTTCTCCTCGTTGAACTTGAACATTTCATTGGGGTCCCATCCATTGGACATGTCGGACTCGAGGTCGTAGTTGTCGCTGTTGCTGGCACCCCCCTCCCAGCGCTGAAGCACCTTCTTTTTGTGTCCCCCATTCCCTTCTAGTTCATGGCGATGGCTGAATCGGTGAACTTGTCTTTAGCAGCTTAGTTGAAGTCAGCATTTCAGAAGTGAACAAGCATGACATCACTTGGCTTAAACACCATGGTGTCTACAATATCCTCCCGACAAGGACCACCTGCTGGCTCAGATGCTTTCTGGTGTACAACATCCACTGCTAGTTCAAAATTTGAGCTCAGCCTCCTGAAGATACCCTCATAGATGGTGTCATTTTTCACCTTTACATCACAAGTGGAGCCCACAACAGCTGTAAGGAAATGCAGCATTCTGGAATTGTTGTGCACGCCTTCAAACACAGGTGACTGTGGGGGTCCCTTTCCTGTGCTCTGTCCCCTGGCGCTGCCAGTGGCAGCGGCCCCCGGCCTCTCCTGGTGCTGCTGCTGCGGAGGCAGCTGCGTCGCCAAGATGCTTTCGGCTTCCCAGTGGAGCCCGCTCCTGGCAGCCGAAGGCCCCAGGCAGGGGGACGAGGCCGCAGGAGGCCCCGGTGGAGCTGCAGAGGAGGCATGGCCTGCTGCATGGGGGGCGGCTGCTGGGGCTTGGAGAGCTCTTATGGCGGCTGAGGCTTCAACATGATAGCAACGTCCGGAAGGGGAATTAAACAGAAGGGAGGGAGAGAGGGGGCCGGAGCTGGGGCCCGCGGGAGAGCGTGGGAAGCCACTGGGATTGGGCAGCCAGGCCCGCCATTGGCAGGCAAGGGGAACCCTGAGGTGTCGGGGGT